TCGTTATGGTTGAACGCGCGGGATCGGGCACATTGAAGCATTTGCTGAGGTTTCGGGGTTGGGGTGCTTCGGGTCTCGAGCATTCGGGCAACGGCTCGGGGATAATGAGCTGCGCATTATTCCCGATACGGTTTCACGCATCTGCCATCATCCCGCATCGCCACCTCCCAAATTCCTGTCATCTTCTTTCGCATCTTGTGCTTACTCCAATGGCATGTAACGAGACAATAGCAACACCTGCCGTTACTTTTATTCAGCGCAGCTGACTTCCCCAATGGCAACCACAAGCCTACCCACAAGCGGCCACAAAAGACCCACTTTCTCCTGCATCCGATGCGCTGAACGGAAGGTCAAGTGTGATAGACAGAGGCCATGTGCTGGTTGCGTCAAGAGCAGCGTCGAATGCGTTTTCAACCCTGTTCAACCACCGAAACAGAGAAACAAACGCGTTAAAGTCAAGGCACTGACTGATCGGTTGAAACAGTATGAGGCTCTCCTTCAGGAAAAGGGCATCGACCCCGCGAACCTTCCGAATCAGACGGATAGTAGGTCGCAGCCGCAAACTTTGATGCACGGCGCGCCCGATCAACAAGAGCAGCATGTCGTTCAATTGCAGACGCCTTCGTCTCTTGAGTCTGACTCGTCTCCGTATGGCGTCCAGAACCCGAGTGTTCGTGGGCAGGCACCCTTTCGGTTTGTGGAGAACAGTCTTTGGAATAGGGTAGTCGAAGAGGTGAGTGGGGGGCCTATGCCATGCGCTGTTACGGGAATCTTATCATCGCGCCGATGCTAACAAGTGTTTAGTCTCTCGACCCTGACAACGATTTAGAAGACTCAAGCGATATCAGCGAGGAGGAGTCCACGACGGGTAACTCCGGTTTCGCTGTTATCAGATCCTCCCATCGCAGCTGCAAGCCTCGTCATCCATCGCTCGAGCGCCTTATTCAGCTTTGGGAGATCTTTGTCAGTAACGTGGATCCGTTGACTAAGGTGGTACATGTGCCTAGTCTGCGGCCTATGATTGAAAAAGCTTCCAAAAACCTCGGGCTCATACCACGACCACTAGAAGCTCTCATGTTCGCTATATACGGCTCCGCTGTCATGTCGTTGAGTCAAGAGGAGTGTGAGAAACGTTTCGCCAAGTCGCGCGACCATCTACTTTCTCAGTACATCTCAGGGACAGAAGCAGCGTTGTCTAGAGCAAGAGTTATGGAGACTTCCAATCTTTTTGTTCTTCAGGCCTTGGTGATACATCTGATTACCATCCGCGAGATCTATGCGCCACGCGCGACCTGGACGCTTACCGGCGTCGCTGTTCGTATCGCTCAAAGCATGGGTCTTGAGCGCGATGGTAAATATCTAGGCATATCTCCCTTCGAGACCGAGATACGCCGCCGTATCTGGTTCCAGTTGAAAGCCCATGACTCTCGAGCAGCGGAGTTGTGTGGTCTCGCGAAGTACCGAGATCCTGATATCGGCCCTGAGCGAGCTGAATGGCCTACCAACGTCAACGACGATCAGCTGCATCCTGGCATGTCTGAACTGCCCCCAGACTCCAATGGACTTACAGATGTCATCTTCATTGTCACGAGATGTGAGATGGGAAAGTTCGCCGCGCCACGCATTGCAGCCCTGCGGCAAGAGGGCATGGACCCCAGCCAGATGAATCTTGACCATTCAGCAAAGAGCAAGACCGCCCGTGAAAGCTTAATCCAAGAGCTTGAGGATACTATCGAAACGAAACATCTTCGGTACTGCGACCCATCTCAGCCTTTACATCTTGTTGCAATGGTTGTGGCTCGGTATGGTCTCAATGTAGCCCGCTTTCTGATACATCATCCACGGAACTGGGGTACCTTGGAGAAAACACCGCTCGAGGAGCGCAAGAAGATCTGGGAAGTTTGTCTCAAGCTTCTCGAGCAACAGATCATGCTGCAGACCAACCCGGTCATCAAGCGCTTTGCGTGGAGTGCGTCCTACTTTCGGCAATGGCATGCTTTGATACATTTACTGGACACTCTTCGCGCTCATCCCAACCTGATCGACACTGATCGAGCTTGGCGACTCATCGGCGAAACGTACGACAATAACCCGGAGATGCTCGAGGACATGAGAAGGCCCATCCATGCAGCTGTTGGCAACCTATGCTTGAAGGCCTATGACGATCATGAGGCACTGATGCGCTCGAAAGATGGCCGTTCTTGTTCGCCACCTGAATTCATAGCACGTCTACGACACCAACGCGATAGCGCAAGGTTGCGACGCCAGAAACGCACTGCAAATAGTGGCCATGCGGCTGCATCTACTGATCAAACCGGGGCTGACATATACCGAATTGACGGCGAGGCAATAGCCGATAACTCGAATGTGTTGATGGACTCAACTCAGGCTTCTTTTCAGGCATCTTTCGGACCTACGCAAGACACTTCATTTGACAGCACTATTCCCTTCACCTTCTCAAACGGTGCGGACGGCACAATCTTCGACAGCATGGATTTGGACGGCGCGCATGAGTTTATGACTACCGACTACATCATGGACGATACATCGCTGGAGTTTATAGACTGGGGCAAGTTGGACAATTGGCTCGCTCACGCTTCCTGACGGGGGAATACTGTCGTTCCGCCCTGTTCCATGATTGCGCTCATGAAGAGCCCACACACACATAATAGCCTAGCCATAGACTAGCGCAGCTGTTTCCTACAGCAGGATTCCATTTATAACTACAGACGCATACTTAGCTGCTGGAACATGTCGATTGGTAAGATGGTGTGGACTTACAAGTCGGCGAGGGTGATTCTGTATTGATCGGCTATCTTCTGGCAAATGTCGCCTGAGCTCACAAGGTGCCATCTGTTACCTGTGTCAAGCGATTTGTCAGCCTTTATTCTCACTCATTTCCCACGGTGTTGCGCAATACTAACATTTTGTTGATGCACCTGGTTGAACAGGAGTCGGGGTCGCTGGGCCGCTGGGCGGCTTCGTCGTAGTAGTCGAAGCGTGCCATTCACTAGCGGGAAACTCCCATGTGATTACTGGTGGCAGCAATGTGAAGCGAGAGGATGTCGACGATGATTGTATCGTTTTTGTTGGCGTTGGTTGGGAAGTAACCGGTAGATCGCCCTGCCACTCCACGCAGTATTCAGTATTAGCTACGAGCGAGCTGCATGGTGCTCCAGGGTTGAAGCTGATGAATTCAGCTTCAGTGATGCTCCATTCTTCCGCTAGGGATCTGCAGGTGTCACCTTGCTTGGCAGGCCAGGTGAACGAGCAATCCCTTGGACGAAGCACGCGTGCGTTGATGCAGGACGAACCAAGATAAGCAAGGAGAATGCAAAGGGTATACTGAAGGGCAAGCATTATCAGGGTCTTAATGCTTCGCGTGTAATATGAACTTGGACTAAATATCTTGAGGGAAACAGCTCTCGGATTTGAAACGATTTAAACTGTGCTTGATGATGAACGCGTTGTGCTAACCGGCTGCTTTGCACAGAATTACAATAAGAGCTTTGGACTACGGACCGACACCCCGATGTTGCATAGGATCTCAATGATAGTAGTCTAAATTTGGAAGTGGTGCAGGTCGTCATGGATCGTAATGCTAGTATCGTGGCCTGCATCTTTGTGAGTGTTGTCATGTACAGCCGAATCAACCTGACTACGCCACAATGTCCTACGGCAATCGGCTATGCAGTTTTCTGCGGCTTTATATTGCCTCCTTTCTCGGGCCGCACCGAGACCTGCAGATCTTGGAGTGTGACAGTAGGCGCATATGCGCTTTCAATTAAAGGTGCGGCGTCTTGCCTCCCGAGGTCGTCTACGGCCTGTATCTTGCTAAAATGAAGGAATGCGGCTCGGCCTCTCCAGGTCCGGAGCACATGCGCACACAAAACAAAGCTTCCCGATGATATATCCATATTATCCAGTTTTATTTACAGCACAGAATTGACGGCGGCTGCAGCTATCCCCGCGCCTGCAACTACTATCACTTTGACACTCTCCACTCGGCCAATGACACTGTTCGGCAACGCAGTCTTAGCCGTGACCTGAGCTTGGGTCGGAACAATAGTCGAGGAGGTAGAAGTCGTTTCTAGAGAGCCAGCTTTTGATTGCGTGGTGATCGAAGGTTTGTTGATTTCATGCTCCTTGGCGTAGCATGCGGCAAACGCAATGGTGTCATTCAGCCAGACTTCGCCCCAAAGAACCTCGCGCATTTCTCTGATCCAAGTATTGGGGCAGCGTTGAGCGACTTCCACGGCTCGCGAGCTATGTGCAGCCCACCAGGAAGATGCAACGCTGCCGTGGGAGGAATAGGCTGGAAGGACTTCTCGAGGCGCAGCGGTAGTGAAACCGCACCAACTAGTCCATTCTGGAAAGGGACACGTTGGTACAACCGTAGCCGAAGGCGAGATGGTAAGTGTGCAGTCCTCGATTAGCTTGTCTCCGTAGATGAGGAGCTCATCCAGAAGGGCTCCAGTGGGCTTCGGTACATCGAAATATTGCGGTATGTTTTCCGTCGCGCAGTACCAAGGATCTCGGGTAATAGTTTGCTCTGCGATAGGCATGAGTGTCAGCTGGGCTGCAGACGCTGTAACAGCAGCTTTGAATAGAGGGGCGCCTGTGGAAAGAGCCATTGTAAGCAAGATGTCGCTGAGGGTTGATATGCCAAAGTGAGGTTATCTATGAAGTAATGTGACAGCGCAGAAATCTGTGGCATATGTCTCCATTATATCATCAATGACCAAGAGCCATATTGATCGATAAGGGGCTTTACGCCATGACCAACTGCATCCCTTGCACACATTTCGACTCGGCTAAAAGGAAGCCTCGTGTTGTTCTAGTGTGATAGGTCGGTCCCTGCTCTCGACGGCTTTGGGAAACGTTGGTAGTCTGGATTGATTCGTCCTGGCTTGAAGCTTGCTATCTACTACAGAGCTCGACGTCCCAGTTAAGGGATACGAAAACTTCACACAACTCTCTTGATAGCAGTGACTCACTTCCTACTGAGCAAAGTGGGGATAGTGCTCCTGCAGGGCTGCTTGTACTGCGGCGAGACATTCAGTCTTTCGAAAGCGCGTCATATCCGGCCAACCATGCTCACGATAGACCTTTTGAAGCATGGTTACAAGTCCGTTATCCTCGGGCCCCAGAGTCGCATAAATATCGATGACTGACTTTGGGCCAATGGGGATGAAGGAGAGTTGTCGAAATTGATCTTTGAGCATGCCGAAGAAGTCAGTGATAGCCCAGCATTCCGATTCGGCCCGCCATTGAGCCTCGTTTTCTGGCGCGTAGTCGTACGGGTCGTCTTCAATTGGTTCGCGTGACGAATTGTGCCTGATCTCGTAGGGGCATTCAACCCAGTAGACAACGCCCAACTCCGTGTCGAGCAGAAAGTCTGCATTGTCTCGTCCGCCAGTAGTTAAACCGATGACGTGGGCCGGTACTTCATCAGTAAAGCTGGCGCCTTCTGAGCAAAGCTTAAGTGTTTCACCCTTAACACCACCTTGAAGCACGCGTCCCAGATCCCTCTGCCAGTCGGAAAAGGCACACCATGGGGCGGCTTGGGGATTTTCGAAGCTGCTGCCAGACCCACGGATGTATGGAAGATGTTGGAGAAGAGAAATTACTTCGTCCGTCTTGTTGAGACCTCGCATGGAGTCGGGAGTGACGGAGGGCCAGCCTCCTTTGGGTGGTTCGATAATGACGCTTTCATCCATGTACATCCGGGTAAGAAACTGGTAGTAATCGCGGACTGCAGCGATGCACGCCTCGCGTGAGTAGATGATGTCTTCGAGTGCAGGCATATTCTCGTAATTGTGGAAGGAGAATACTGCTGAGAACTTGTGTTGACGAGATGTGTGGTTCATATAATCGCTTGTTTACCCGGCTCGGCGTACATGACCTTGAGGTATTCATTTACCGATCTGCCGGGGCGAAACACCTGACGACCGTACATTGATGCAATCAAGCGGTTCGCGGCTGTGCCACATTGCTACTGGGATAGAACGAGTAGGCAAGATCTGCATAGCGGTTGTTTCCAAGAGTGTATGTGGTGCTTCACCGGGTGCGGAAGTCGAGTTCTTTCTGCACCGTCCTTACAGCAGTGTATCGTGAAGTCATTTTCAGAATAGCACCACTCTCGCGATGGCAAGATACCTCTTCATTCTCCTTTTCTGGGGCAGCGCATGGGTACAATCCGCTATGCACCCCAACGGTACTTGGGTTAGCGAACCCCTTACTGAAGACGACGCCTCGCCGATTGACAACCCGAATACCTACTACCCCGACCAGTACGACTGCCCGCTAGCATGTGCAGACTACGCAAATACGCACAGCTGGATTACGTACTTTTCAATGGAGCGCATCCAGCGGTGTAAGGAGGCAATGCTGCTCGAATTCTCAATTTCAACGGCACTTGACGATCCTCAGACGACACCGCTGATCCGCAGCTGCACGTTGGGCGGCGGAGACGATGAATCCATGATCGCAGAAGTCCCTGTCGAAAATCCAAAGAAGGCAGGAGATCTTTATCGAGCGAGCCTCCAGTCTGCACCGGCATGCGTTCTGGATGGCATAGAAACTTCGCACGACATGCAGATGACAACTCGCGGCGACGGGCAGGAACGGTCTGGCGATATTGTGGGGCTGCTCATGGGCATGGGGATGTATTTTGCTGCGCGCGATAATTGTGACGAGAGGTTCCTGTTCGCGCGTCACAAGGATTTGGCTGTCGGCGTTCATGTAGGAGACGACCTGGCAAAGCTAACGGCGGAGTCCGCCCTTAGCTTGCTGGCAGATCACGTGCGATCCAACGGAGCTCGGACGCCGGACCAGATCGTCGTCGAGCTCTGCGGTGGCGGACGCCAGGCACGAAACGCGTTCGGCCTCATTATCGACAGCACGGGTGATCTTATTCAGGTCCAGAAAGCAGTATTAGGGTGGAGCAATGGAAACTGCACACTACCGGACGGGCAGAGCGTCGTCGGTCATCTCCCAGATGTGCGAGTAGTGGATCTTCATGGCGTCAACAATACGATCAATGCCAACAGTACCAGCAATGTCGCCAACAACAACGCTACCCATGTTCGCAAACGCGCCGTGCCGCAAGCGGGATCCGATGGCGTCTGCGCAACACACCTTATCCAGAATGGAGATACTTGCGATCGATTGTCCGGACAGTATGGCGTGACTATCGGCAACCTTGAGAAGTGGAACAGAGGAAAGACTTGGGCATGGACTGAGTGCAAGGATATGCTGATCGGCTACAGCATGTGCGTCAGTGACGGCTTGCCCCCCATGCCACCGCCACAGCAAGGTACCCAGTGTGGGCCCCTGGTTCCTGGCACGCAACGACCGACGAATAAAGCATCACTAGCTGATCTGAATCCGTGCCCTTTGAAGGCATGCTGTAGCAATTGGGGCTTTTGCGGTGTATTTCCAGCCCATTGCGACATCCATGCGCCCAAGGATGGTGCGCCAGGCAGCAAAGACAAGAATTTCCAGAACACCTGCGTCTCGAATTGCGGCAATCAACTGATGGACAATTCTCCAGCCCCGAACGAATTTATGCGAATCGGCTACTATGAAGCATATAATCACAAACGTCCTTGTCTGCGGCTCAACGCTCGAGATGCAAACGTCGGCGAATCCTACACGCACATCCACTGGGCGTTTGCCGACATCAACCCCGACAACTGGAAGCCCGCTATTCGAGACGGCTCTGACCACTGGAAAGACTTCAAGGAACTGAGAAATGTCAAGCGCATTGTTTCATTTGGCGGCTGGGCGGCTTCGACAGAACCGGCAACGTACAACATTATTCGCGGAGCTATCATAGACCACCGGGATGAGTTCGCTAGGAATCTCGCCCAATTCGCCAAAGTGGAAGGCATTGATGGCATAGACATCGATTGGGAATACCCGGGTGTAAGTTTTGCTATCATTGCCTGCTTCTAGCATACATTAATTACCAGCTCATAGGCTCCTGATATACTAGTCGATGGCCGACCTATTGGCCGACCAAGCGATGGCCTGAACTATCTCAAGTTCCTTACGGTCTTGAAGAAAGAATTGGAACCTGGCGTCTCTGTATCCATCGCCGCACCGGCCTCGTACTGGTATCTTAAAGCTTTTCCTATCGACAGGATTGCGGTAGTCGTTGACTACATTGTTTACATGACGTATGATCTGCATGGGCAATGGGATGCTGGTAATCCCAATGCATATGACTCATGTCCTTCCGGTCGATGTATCCGGAGCCATGGTGGGTGCTATAACGACTCAGACGAGATCGAACGGTCATGCTGATTCAAATGACAGTCAACTACACGGAGACGCGAAATTCTCTAGCTATGAGTATGTTCGATCCGTGAAGGAATGCCGCGCTGTATGCACTTTGATTAACGACGAAAGCAGTCTCAAAAGCAGGCGTCCCACATAACAAGATTTTTGTGGGAGAAGCAAGTTACGGCAGATCTTTTCATATGGCCCAGGATGGCTGTTGGGGCCCGAAATGTGAATTTACAGGATCGAGAGACAGCTCCGACGCTACTCCGGGCCGATGCACTAGAACTCCAGGCTACCTCGCTTACGCCGAGATCACTGAGCTTATCACCAGCCCTGGTGAGAACTCGTCTCGAACCTTTTTCGATAAGCAGTCGCGTACTGATGTCATGGTGTACACTGGTGAGTCACGCTGTTGGTGAGCCTTCTTGGTCTTGCGCTACAGCCATCGTCGGAGCTTGCACTTGGCCTTTGCTAATATGAATTCGCTTTTCAGGTGACTACATCAGTTATATGACTCCTGAAACCAAGGACGCCCGACGTGCCGAATGGAAATCATTCAACTTTGCTGGGACTGTTGACTGGGCCGTTGATCTCCAGGAGTTCACTGCGCAGGAAATGAGCATTCTACCTCCACGACCCGAGAGTGGTCAAGGCTGTACCTCCGGGGAAGGTATCACTTTAGAGTCAGGGGACCTTTGCGACTTCACCTGTCTCTATGGATTTTGTCCTGAGCGTGTATGCATATGCTACACAACTGGAAAGCTTCTAGATCTGCCAACCGAGAAGACTGGACTCAACATCGTAGCTTGGGACGAGTTCAATGTGGAACTAAACCGACTTTGCATGTTTGCTTGCAAATACAACTATTGCCCCGAGGAGATATGTACCACTCCTATCGATGGGCCCGATGAAAGTGGACCACACGGATTTGGGGAGGATTTTGGCAACGGCGAAGATCCCAACTATTACAACAAAACCGCAGCGAAACTCGCCAATGATCAGACATGCATCATATACAGGGACCCAGCATACAACGAAGTGAGCAAGACTCAGTGCAAACCCATTTGTCAGGACGCACTAGATGAGGCGGCAGAGGAGGGGAGAACATCTAATTACGGGTGTATCGGATTCTACCCTATGGAAACCAGTATTCCTTGGGAGAGAGGACCGGGAGCGGGTAGTCAGTTGATTGCGCCTGGGAAATGTTTGTGCGACAACTTCCTCCTCAACGAACTGGCAGACACTGTTCTGGAAGCAATGCCCTTGATCGCTCAGGTATGCTATCCAATACCCGTTAATCGCGGTTAGGAAACGTTTTGCCATCTGACGATTATCTAGATTAGTTGCTATGTGCTCATGTCAAGTATCAAACTCGTAATCGACGTCGGAGTTCAATTCATACCCGTAGTGGGCAAGATTCTCGATATTGGTCTGGGTAAGTCGGCTCATTTGCTTAGCGTCTTACTGCGTCTCACACCTCACACCAATACTAACTCAATCTCACAGATATGGCTACAACAGCCGCACAGATGGCTGCGTATCTGTATCCCGAAGAAGAAGACCCCGAGGGCGCATTCTCATGGTGGCTGAGTCCATGCGGGGGTACGGACCTGGTGCCGCAAGATATCAAGAAAGCTTTCGAAATCTTGAGCACCGTAGCCAACGGTGTATCGAGCTTCAAGCCGCCAAAGCGCATGAAACGTCACAGTCGCAAAAAGGGTGACGACGGTAACCCAATCGATAGCTCAAGGTCCCGTCGACCAGGTGGAGGTGGCAGCGGTAATGGCGTTACTAAGCCAGCAAAGAAATGCAGAGTACCCGCAGGGAAATCAACACTTCGTCTCGGCGAGGCCTCCAACACACTTCGCAAGCAGTCCTGCGTCAACGGTTCAACAAGAAAAGAGAACATGGTCATTACCTCGCTCGCTTTTGCGCCAAATGCGGTGCCAGTGCAATTCAAAGCGACTTGTTCGCAAGAGAATTCACAAGCTTGTTACCATTACAGCTCAGTCATTCGAAATCATCCGTCATGGTCGACTCTGACCTGCGATGAGGAAAACGCTACTATCAAGCACCGGCTCGACGCGAAAGCCACCGATGTCTGGACCTACCAGCATAATGGTCGGGGATGGGTAAAGCCGGACGATTGCGATCGAGATGAGTACCCACCCGCCTATCTATTGCACAGAAACCATCCCGCCTTTTTGAAAGCCGGCGTCGATGCTCAAGGCCAGATGGTACGCGTTTTGCCAGCCGATGAGAACAGACGCGCTGGCAGGATGTGGAAGGGTGCATGCTTCAAGCCTCCGCTTGAAGATCTGACGAACTCCGAATTCGCGGCAAAAGCCAACGCTGCCCCCAACAAGGTATACGCGATGAAGAAGGGGTATCAGTACACTGAAGTACACGTGACCGTCACTCAGCGCCCTGAGTTTACGATTGCTGCATGGGGCCATGCTGCTGCCCCACCCAACGAAGGTTTGGACCAGAACAGCTGTTGGCCTTCAAACATTGCAGCTGCTGATCCTGGCTTTGTACTGTTGACTTATGATCCTTGGTACTCGAACATGGCTCCTCCTTACAATTACAAGAAACCGTACGTTCAGGGTGCCAACGGATCTTAGTCGTATGGCGAGACCAGCTTCGTTACGCTGCGAGCATTCCATCCCAGATTGATAAATTTGAGGTTGAAAGAAGATAGAATCGATCACGTTTGATATACATGGATCTTCATAACGTATGCTTGTTTGTTTCCGAGTGTTGTTTAGAGCTCGGCACAGATTCGGGAGATGACGGCTGAGCTCCGGATTCATGCTCGTTTCGTACTAGCGCTCCTTGCTTCGGGACCGAACCCAATCCGTCGGCTCGCTTGGCAAACCGTTTATTTCGGCAATCGATGTCGCGATGTCACAAATCCGTTGGCTCGTACGAAGTCCATTCAGTTCCAAAACTGCTTTGCGATGATCAATCACATATTGGGCAGAGAGACTTTTGATCTGACTTCTTGGGTTCTGATTGAACCAAAACCGATATCAGCCGATGGAGTGTGCTGTGGTGGTTTAATGCCACCTGGGTATCTCGTTGACGTCTCGGCACTAACTTAACACCAGCAACATCCTGATATGCGCCTGCCTTAGCAGAGCTTGTACTTAGAGTCGAATGAAGCTAAGCTACTATATGGAATGCTTGCCGTGCGCTTGCGGGCGGTATTGCTTTCGGTTGTCAGACGGCGGTTCAGGTCGGAACTGTGCAAGGCTGGCTAGATTGTGCTCACCTCAGCTTTGTGACCTCACTAACACAATTCATAGACTTCCCAGAAAGGTTGTACGAGACGGAGGTCTCGGCTTCTGTGTTCAATTCGGTTCTCGCGGTTCTGATAACTGCGATGCGTTGAGTTCCGGACCTATTCGATCAGCATAAGACCATCGACTTAGCCACTTGGAACGAGAATCAACACATCTATACATCTCAGATTTACACTCCTCTTGATCTATTTTCTATGCCAAAGATGCGTTATCAACTTTGTTTCTTGCTCTGCGCCAGTAGTTCTGCTCACGGAGCAGTCCTCTCACCCTGGCGCCGGGACATGTCGCACTTCTCGATTGGCACCAGCTCCAGTTCCAGTACGCGTGCATCTGCGCTTGCAGAGAAGCGAGCTGGCTGGGAATACGGTCCCTCAATCGCCGGCAACACTGCATTTTATCCAACTGGCAGTATTGGTGGACCAGTTGCGAAGGCGCAAGGGGACAGCTTCGAAGCTTTCTCTGACAGATTGAGCGCCAAGAATGATGAGGATGCTAAAGCTGCTCAAGCATCCATTGTGGCAGTAAGTACATTTGTCGGACTGATCGCGGAGATCTATGCTTAACATACCTCAGGCTGGCGGCTTGAACACTTTGGATGACTATGCGAAGCTGTATAACGGCCTCTGGAAAGAAAGCGCGCCCAAAGGGCCATACCCTGGACTATTGACTAATTACACAGAAGACCTGCTCTTTTCAATGACTCAGCTCTCAGACAACCCGTACAAGATCGTGCGAGTGTCAAAGGACGCAAAGCTTCCTTTCACCGTCTCAAACGCCGACGCGATATCGGGGCAGACACTGGAAGCACTCCAATCCTCTGGCCGTCTCTTTCTTGCCAATTATCTGGATCAAAAGTATCAACCACAGTCCGCTGGCAAATACGGCGCTGCCTGCCAAGCGTACTTTTACATCGACCCCAAGTCTCAGAACTTCCTGCCGCTCGCCATCAAATCGAATGTAGAAGGCTCTGACCTCGTCTACACCCCTCACGACTCGTCTAACGATTGGTTGCTGGCCAAGATGATGTTCAATCTGAACAGTTTCTGGTACGCGCAATGGTATCATCTCGGAGCCACGCACGTGGTGAGTGAGATTGTGTACCTAAGCGCTATCCGGACGTTGAGTGAGGAACATCCTGTCATGGCCATACTGCATCGATGTAAGCTTCACCACTCTTCCACAACCGTGACTCAGAACTAATAGCGGAAATGTAGTGATGAAGGATGCTTGGGCGTTCCGAGTCATCGGCCGCGACAGCCTGATAAACCCCGGTGGCCCCATCGATCAACTCTTTCCATGGTCCGGCAGTCAAGCCGGTAACTACACCGACTCGCTGTATCATTCCGGCGAATCCAGCGCTTTCCAGGCGAACTATTTCGAAACCAACTTGAAAAGGCGAGGCCTGATTGACTCTAGCTTCGGCCCCGAGATCAAAGCGTTTCCTTTCTACCGGGATGCATCCGTTATCCATACTGCCATTCGCCGGTTCATGACCACCTTCGTGGAATCGTATTACACGGATGCAAGCGCAATTGTAAACGACAATGAGCTCCAGGCATGGATCCATGAAGCAGTACCAGCTCAGATAGTAGACTTTCCATCTACTCTCAAGGACAAGCACACTCTCATCGACATCCTGACCCATATGGCCCACCTGGTATCAGTAGTTCACGGCACGCTCAACACAAACGCTCTCGCCGCCTCAACTGGTGTTCTTCCTTTCCACCCACTCGCTTTCTACTCGCCATTGCCAACTGCGAAAGGTGTCACCGACATCATGCCCTTCATGCCACAAGTTGAAGCTGCTATTGGCCAGATCAGTTTAATGGTCGATTTCAACCGGCCTAAGTTCGTCAACAGCGAGGAAACCCTATCGCACATGTTCGACAATACAACCATGCTAGCCAGGATGGGTAAAGAAGTGGAGAAAGCGGAACAAGATTTTCGACTCGCGATGAAGAATTTTAGCGCGGTAATCAGAGATACGAGGTTTGGGGCAGACGGCCTGTGCGGAGACATGCCTTACTGCTGGACTACTCTAGATCCTGATACAGCTAGCTATTGGCTGACTATCTAGAGAAATCGTGTCGCAGAGCAGAGCTTACCTAGGTAGATAGAACAGGTGTTTGGCGGCTCTCTCTCTCACGCGCACACACATTCCCTTATGTATATCTACATTCACTACGTACGAATTAATGCTTAGATTATTGACTTCCTACGTGGTTGTACGCTGAATCCACCTGCCCATCCACTCCTCATTCACTCGCTTTGCCTCATCCACCAAGCCCAACTCAAGCAGCAGCTGCACAGAACCCCTAACAGCCGAATGCAGCGACGAACTGACCCAAGCATGCGTTGGGGCCGTATGCTCTCCAATGAAGATGGTGTTGTGCTCCGTTCGATGGTATGCCGGGATATACAACTTATGCTGCATCACATCCGGGCGGCACCACGCGGTCCCCGTATGCTCGTCCTGCAGCCAACACAACTTCTCGTAGTCGCCCGTATACAGCTCCCTCGCTTGCTCGCCATGCACGCTTACAACAGCATCCAACACAGTCTGCACATACTCTTCGTCTGAGAAGCTCGTGAACTCGTCACTCCAGTGGCCACCCCGGTAGTGCAGGATCAAGCCCGGGCGAGACTCGTTAAGGCCGTAGACGGGATAGTAGAGAGCGCCGACGGCTGCACTGGGTGGCGTGGAGTATCCACCGAAGATGGGACGGTCGCCCTTTTCCCAGAAGCGTTCTTTGAAGAGCAGCGCTACTTTGCAGGCGGATTTGAAGCGGAGGCCAGCTTCGCTGATCGCACGACCGAGTACGGAGGAGAATTTCGGAAGCGACATGAATCGTGTCATGGTGAACGGCACTGCCATGATTGTGTATTCGTACTCTTTCGACTCATATGTTCGGTTGCTGACGCTGGGATACCACGACAGTTTCGTGCGTGTGCGACCTTCGGCAATTTCAACAGCCTCCAGTTTTCTGATCTTACGGTTGAGGGTGAGACGGTCGCTGATATGGGGAAGGAACGCATCAGATAGTCTGTTAAAGCCGCCGTCTACACACTTCCACTCAGTCATGCCCAGTGCATCCGGTCCGCCATCTTGCGCAAGGTTCGAGTTATGCACTAACTCATCCCAGAAGACGTCGTAGTCGCTCGCTGTCCAGATGGCGTCTGTGACGTTTTCGCTTGCGCCAAAGACATGGCGCATCATGGCCTGCTCGCTCCAGTCGTCGAGACCTTGATCCATGGCTTTCTTGTGTTCGCGCCACACATCGCGTTGTACCGCCTTGAGTCTGTCCTTTGACTTCAAAAGCTCGTTCATGCGCTGCTTGATTTCGGTGTACTCCTGCGTGTCCAATGGTGCTGGTCGCCCAAGAGACAAGTTTGCTTGAATCTCAGCTCGCGTCGGAAGTTGTCCATTTGGAAGTCTGCCAGTTCCTAGGCCGAGGATCTCGTTGGGGTGATGCTGGACCCATGGAATAAAGTCGACTTTGAATTGCGGATCATTCGCGTTCATCTCATTGAGCATGTCGGCCAACTGGAAGACCATCTGATGGTCACTGTACTCGATGGTCTCTCCATCCTTGTATGTAATCGAGTGAGGAAGGCGCATTGGACCCATCTCCGCCCATTCTTGCGTTCCACCAACGTACTTGGTCCGGAACCGTCCTCCGACCCGGTCGCTTGCCTCGATAATCTCCCAGTTGTGTACACCCACGCTGTCAAGCATCAGTGCCGTAGCGAGACCAGAGATGCCGGCGCCGACTATCGCGATAGTCGCGTTCTTCTTAGATGAGGAAGCAGACGTGGTTGTGTTGATCGCCGCGACACCGTCAAACCATGCTCCAAGAGCGTCGAAGTCCTGTAGCAATGGTTTGGTGCGACTGACGTCCCTAGTCTCTGAAGATGTCCTGGGACTCGAAATGGGGTTGCTGAGCACCAGCCCTGTAGAGGCTAATGCAATGGTTAGTGACCTCAACATCCTCGCCGCTGGATACACCATGTTTGTTAGCACTTTCGACTTGAAGAGCTTAAAACTGAAAGATGAATAAGCCGTGCTTGGAACACCTCGATCGTTTGAGCTTAATATAAGACACCAATTACCCGCGAACCATGATGGCCAACCACCATGCACCTCCACTTGGCGAATGGACACACCGCGTATCTTGACGGAAAGCAGTAACCTAAATAATACTATCAACATTAGAGTGCCATCAGGGTAGCTAAAGGACTGTATCGCATTCCAGCACTTACAAAAACATCCCAATCAAGCGAAGCTGGGCGGTCCTACCTAGGTACTCAGCGACCCGAACGCGCGCCCCGAAAAGCTTTCAACATGTTGTATACAGCAGCGTCTTTTGTCTTCCACTCTTGATCACGCGCTGCATCTTTGGAGTCGCCAAATCTGTATGTCATCTCCTCGTTCTGTTTAGTCGCCTCTTGGTTTTTGTTTATGTTTCTCGGCGGTACTTCGTACCGAGTTGGGGTGAGGACGTGGACTTGCAGAGCGGCGCTTTCGACATCGAGGATGAATTGTGCTGTTAGCTGTCAGATCTTGTCATGCATATCGGATGAGACGAACGGGTGCATGCGCGAAGATGGGCGGTCTTACTCCATGGGATACCCAGCTTTTTAGCCTCAACGCGGGCTTTGTTCCGTGCGATGCAGCGCTCTTGCAGCTCCCATTCTTCTAGGAAATGTACGGTTGCGTCGCCCGCCTTGGTCTTCGTGAGGTCGTCGAGGGATGGCGAATGCAGACGCTGCGTTACGGCTCTAGAGATGAGTTGTCGGTATTGTACTGTTTCCAGGCCATCATTTGTGTTGTCCTTGCGGACTCTCGTATGGGCGTCGTTGTTGAAGTTTGAGGGTTTGGCTGAGCTCAGTTCTAGGAGTGTGATCGCCATGACGCAGCGTCCGCAATAGATGATCGTAAAGTAAGGACATGGGGTCGTGCAGAGAGAGGGTGAGTGTATAGCTGCTGGTGTCAAAACATTGGCGTTTGTGGTATGATGAACTAGACGCGCCGTGTGCTCATTATTCAATGATGCGATTCCACCATCGTATGCCTGAGTATCGGGGTAGCTAGTACTTTCTCAGTTTCTTCACCATCCTCCTCTTCACGTATAGGCAGCACCAGCTTCTTATTTACATCGTCGTCTTGTTTAAAGACCATCCCGTCCAGTATTTACAGCATCCTTAAGACCCTACAAGCTCAGCCCATCAGCCAGCACCGCACCGTACCAGATCATAGCTCCCAATCCCACCATGTTGACCAGACTGCTGACGCCGTGCAGAATGCCGAACTGCTTGTTCAGGGCCTGCATCTCCTTGCTATGTGGCCCAGCATCATAGCTCTTCTTCCCATCCCTCGTCTCCTGATGCTTCCTCAGACCCATGACCTCCGTTGTCTTAGGTCCAACATAAACCCAGTTGACAAGCGCGGTGAGAAACATTGTGGTGTGCAGCCAGGAACTCAGGTTATCGGTTGCTGTCGGCGGGATGGGCGAGGAGGATAGGAATGGTAGCAAAGATGATGCTCCGCCGCGTGGGTACGTGAGCAGCATTACGACGGGAGTGAGGGTTTGTAGCGTGAAGTAGACGGGGAAGGTGTGCTTCTGGAGCGTGGAGAATTGAGGGCGAGGGAGGACGCGGAAGGCTACGATGCCTGAGACGAAGGACTGGAAGAGCGTTGAGCCCAGGAGGGTGCCATAGCTGTGCTTGTGTTAGAGGATCTTGAGCGTCGAGTGCTGGTAATGTAGCTTCGTACCTGAGCAGATGGTATGTCGCCGGATTCTTGAATGAGGAGAATGACATGTTGGCGATTGTGTCTTGTCAGGTAATCACGCTGTTGGTGAGGAGTAGAGCAGGAGTGAGCAGGAAACTCGGCGTTTCAGAGCGGCACGAGCAGCAGCCTCGGCAAATGATGATCTCACGACATGTCGGAGCCATGCAGTGACCCTGCATGCTATCCGTGCGCTATCCCATCTACAGCCTGGCGTGTCTGCCCCGCTAAAGATTTCGCGAGCCCCTCCATTGCGCATCATGGCGTCGTGCGACAATCCTTCAGCCCGTCTAAGAAAGGATCCTAGCCTCCGCCCGACCAAACCGCCGTACACCGACCTCCGCAATGCTACTTCCTTCGCTGATCAACCTCCGCCGCCCAGCCAACACGCCACTCGAGCCTGAAGACATCTTTGGGTCCTCCCTCGGCGGCATCTTCACCGATGATACACAGAACCAGCATGGGGATGACCCGAGCACGGTTATTCTGTACCGCAACGCCAAGTTTGGCGAGTTGGAGATCAGGGTCGCAGATGTGAACGGCGAAGAAGAAAGAAGAAAGTTTGCGCACTACCTATGGAATGCCGGCGTCATGATGGCAGAACTGGTCAGCGGGCGAGTGGAGGGAGGCGATCTGGGTGCAAGTGGAAAGGGCCTGCACGAAGATGAAGAGGGCTGGAGAGATGGCAAATGGTGGACAGACAAAGAAGAAGAGAATAGATGGAGCGTGGAGGGCGAGACGGTGTTGGAGTTGGGTGCAGGTGGGTCGGGCTGAGTAAAGAGAGGTGTTGAAGAGAGTACTGATGGACTATTTGCTCGCAGGCGTAGGATTGGGCGGGATTCTGAGTACATTGGCGGGAGCGAAAGAGGTACGTCCACGTTCAGACTCCGGATATGTATGGGCTCCAACTAACAATCCGCGAGGTTGCCATCACCGACTATCCTGCCGCTCCTATCCTCGATACCCTCAGAACGAACGTCGCGAAGAACGTCCCCGCGCATCTCAAGCCCAACGTGACTGTCGAAGGTCATCAATGGGGCTCCACAAGCACACCCTTCGAGACCTCGCACGCGAACCGCTACACGCGCATTCTCGCTGCAGATTGTCTCTGGATGCCGTGGGAGCACGAGAGCCTCGCCAAATCGATGCTGCACTTCCTATCCGACGACCCGTCCGCACGTATATATTGTATCGCAGGCTTCCATACAGGACGCGCCAAAGTCGCACCCTTCTTCGAGGAAGTGATACCGGAGCAAGGGCTCGAGATCGAGGAGATATACGAGATGGACGTAAACGGGCAGCGGCGGTCATGGGCGAAAGAGCGCGACGGCGGTACGGAGAATATGGGCGAGCGGAAGAAGTGGCTCGTTCTCGCGAGGATACGGCGGGCTGTTCGATAGCGTAGTCGTAGTAGTTCCTTCTCTTAGCAGACGAAGCGCTGAATCACACCCTCTTGAAGCACAGCGTAACAACACTGCTGCCCGTCTTGCCTCCAAACGTGAAGCTGGGGTACTTGACTTTGCCCTCAAACTCCAGCTCTCCGCCTCCAAACCAGCCCTTGAGCTCTTCTTCTGTCCAATTGCAGCTCGTGATGAGGAACCTGCCGCCCTTCTTCATGAGAGGCTCGACCTTCTCCCTGTATCCTTCGCAGATCCTGCGACCTTGCGCGTCTTCTTCTTGCGACAAGCAGATGGCATCGAATGTGCCCTTGTCCAGTACGACATCGAAGCCAGCACCTAACCACGCGCCCGGTGCTTGCGACAGAATATCCCACTCGTGGAACGCGATGTCCTTGTAAGAGTCATCCTTCGCGTCGCGAATCGACGTGGCAAGCGTGACGCTCTGCGCAGAGTAATCGACACCGACCATCTCGCCATTCCACTCGTCCTCGCGCAGCGCAAACAGCAAATGCCCATTGCCTGTTCCCAGATCTAGGAACCGTGCCGCGTTGTGGTCGTCACCGTCGTCCTCTTTGTGTATGTGGCCCTCGTCGCTGAGGTCTTCAAGGAAAGACAACATGCGCTCCTCGGCACCCGCGTCGCTGAACCATATCGTGCCTTCGTCGTCGGCGTTTGCGGCAAAGTTTTGGCGTTCGGTGTTGTAGGCGGCGTCCCAGTAGGATTTGGTGCCCAGTTCGCTGGGGTCGAGGTGCGTGGGTGCGGTCATTGAGTGAGGGTTCGAGGAGGAAGGAGCGACTGCAGCGGGTGTAGGAGACGTGGGTGATGCGACGTTGTGGCAGAAAGTTGGTGATGTTTTTGGAGGGGCAGATCTTTGGTTCCTGGCTAGGCGCTCGCGCGCCGTGCAAGCGAGGCGGGCGAGGCGCGCCGCCCTAGGAATGACAAAGCATGCCAATCATCGTATGCACTTGGAGGTGGTTATAAGAAGAGTCGCATGGATTAGGTTGTACCTATCGGCTTCCATGTCGGAGCCTGTAGTAATCATTCCAGTTGCCCATTGAGCTACCGTCGCACACCACCCCCTGCCGTCCAACGCTGCCCAGGTCCACGAGTACCGTTACAACGGTCGGTCGCTGCTGCGAATGACCTCACCGTTGTAGACTGTCCGGTGAACATGACCGAAACCTTGAGGGTCTATCTGATATCGAGCGTTGTTTCGTTTCCAGAAACTCGTTTGGATACTTTTATGACGAACCTCAAGCTTCCACTCTTCTGCCCATTGATCTAGCGTCCAATCCTTTCTTGGGAGGAAGAATGCCTCTTGATCCCACTCTTCTCCCACCTCTCCAATAAAGGAAATGTTGCTAGTGCCGTCAATGACGTCGCGAACCGTCTGGTAGAACCCTTCTGGTAGATGCCAAGGTAAAGGAATACGGCCGACAAAGCGGCGGTCGAAAAGTCTGGACGTCGGGCGCGTGCCGTGTACTCGACATTGCTCCAGCATGGCTTCTTGCATGGCTGCTGCATACTTGATGATGCCCCACGCTTGATGGGATTCCGGTGACGCACCATCTACAACGAGTCGGAAAGAGCTCTTAGGCATTCCACGAACATGAAGTAGGTGAACTTCTGTTAGCCATGGAATAATAGCATCTAAAACTTCGGATCCACCAATCCAGTCATATCCGGCATGGAAGTTGTATGGATGACCCAAGGGTAGAATGGTGGCCAGTAGATCGATATGTCTCTCGACCCGAAGATTTGAATTCGCCTGGCACATGGGAATGAGACCTCGTACATGGCATACGGAACGCGGCATCGACTTGAAGTCTTCGTGGAGGACGAGTTTGCGCAGATTGCGCAGCCTCTTGGGGGGGATTCGATGCACTGCGCCTCGCGTTAGAAAGTTCGTTCCATGTAAAGATATTTGTATTACAACAACAAGCGCTGTGATAAAGGACAGTACTTACAAAAGTCGATCGCTACTGCTGCAGCAGAGAAGTAGTATTTACTGTTGCATAGTCGGCGAGGGTCCTCCACGTGGCACCAGTTGTAAATGAGCTCGTCGTCTTCTTCTGGCCGGCAAACAAGCCCCTCCATCCTGGCAAGCTCGCTATCCGTGGGAATCGCCCAAGGGGATGGTCTCCAATAAAGTACATCGTGCAACGCCCCTTCCACGAAGATATTGTACTGGCCCATACCTCGAAGGTTGCCCACAGGGCAGATGATGTTTCCAAAGATTCCTCGTGTGAGCCGCGCAAACTTGGTCGAATCTCGACTCTTCGCCATGTCGAGCGCAAGCACGAGAGCTTCTATGAAATCTTGAGATGTGTGATTGTCCAAACCAATGTTCATGTATCGGGAGAGTGTATTGATGTTTTGTGCGAGTGCTTGCTTCAGAGGTCCTTCGAAACAGTCTTCGATGGCTGGATAACGAGCTCTTATTTCAGTAACATCTGACGCCTCGAGTAGTTCCGCGACACAGATCAACATGTATTGTCTCTGAACCTGAACCATATCGAATACTAAGGAGTACATCAGTCCAATTTCACATTCATTCAATGGTACTCTGCACTTACGCTGGCAAAATCGAGCGACTCTGGATCGGAGTTGTTGGAAGACTGCGCCATCGTCCACGGAGCAATGTGTAGTAAACTCGACATTCTGGAAAGCGACGTGCTGCATCTCGTCTGCAGCAATCTTGCAGGTCATCATGAGACCGAGACCCTCCGTCTGAGCTGAAGTATTGGAGTATCGTAATTTTGCTGTGCCCCTATTGTACACATACTGTGGTCGACCCTGAGCATAGTACTCATAGATGGTATTCCTAATCTCTCGTGGAAGTCGGAACAGCGGTGATTGTTTCTGCCCGAGAAAGTACTGCGTCTTGGGTGCCGTCATGAAGGGGAACATGTTCCAGTGCGCAAAGTTGTTGGGGCCTCTCTTGTTGAAAGCCATCTTGGGTGTATCAGGTGCCATGCAGATGCTGATTGCGACTGCCCGGCATCTTATACTGCGCCGTCATACCTCCTCTGGCTTTTGCGATGACTCCCAAGACGGATGCACCATGGTACCAAACTATGGCTTGCTGGTCGTAAGCGGATTCATCGCGTTGAAGTGTGTGCCCATTGGCTGATCGCCTGGGCACCATTCAGCTTCAGTGCAATGACTTATCGGTGGCTGTAGAGTTGATGTCTGAGTGTGAGCGACATGCCCATCAACAGTAAAGCTGTATTTGTTGGGTGATAATGATTATACGCGACGCGACCGAACAGATGGATGGTCGGTCTGGCGCGGACCGGTTGGCGCGAGCCTGCCCAGGTGGTGCCCAGCCTCTTCATGATCACGGAGCTCCACCACCCAGGCAAACATCACGGCTCACTCTCCCACAACCTCCTCAGACCATGACCTCACTCGCTCGTTGAGTCTGGTCTTGCAGACGTCCCTAATTATACCCTTCGAAACCTCACATACTCACGTTGCAAGCGCTCTTGCAGACCGCGCGCAATCTTCGCGATGGCTTTCGCCCGAACTCACCCTTGAACCGCGACGAAGACGAGAACGCTGTCCACGCATAATGAGCTCCGCACGCTATCTATATCCCTCGCCCTTCAGCATTACAGCCTACGTACATCCGGTCGAAGACGCGCAACCCGATTACAGCGTACCCAGGCATACATGGCATAACACCAACCCGGGCTCACGGCACGATGCGCCCTTTCCGAAGAAGAAGGCAGACCTATACATTATGACAATGGGGCAAATCGGCTTATAGTATAGCTGTCTTGCTGATGGTATGCATCACAGGCTTCTTGCTATTTGGAAGAGTGCATGACCCGAAGGCAGTGGGCATCATCCAACATAATACTCCAGATGTGGGCTGGCCGCCACGCAATTGATACATCAAGCCACCTCTCCAATCTCGTACCATGACAGTTATACTTCAATTCTGGTTTCGAGACTACACAATGTTTCTGGGACATCGAAGCTTAATTCACACATTCGCGGATGCCGTGTCTAAGAGCTGTCTTCCAGCCCAATTCTCCAGCTATTTTAGCCGATCAACGCAATGTCTACGATGAAGGCTCTACAACATACCTCTCCCACACATACAGCCAAAACTTCGAGATAATATTTACGCCAATCTTCTCGTACCAGTCTAAACCCCACTGTGCTTCCGTCCACTCCCTCCTCTCATAGCAGAAAGTATCATGATCCCAAATCTCACCCACATCTCCATTGTACCGTACAAGCGAGTTGCCCTCAGCGATATGCCGAATCGTTTGTGCGAAGTCTGTAGGTAGACTCCAAATTGCCGAAGAGTATGAGTATGATGGCCGAAGATTTCTGTGTGGGAGATCTATACCGCTTAGCTGGAGCTGCATGCTACGAGCTTCTTGGGTAGCTGCGGCAAATTTGAGCATAGACCAGAATTCCGAAGATTCTCTTGCCACACCGTCGAGGACAAGTTGGAACGATTTCAACGGCATCCCATAAGAGTGTAACAAGAGTGCCTCTTCGATCCATGGGAGTATGGCCTTGAAACAATCAGAACTGCGGATATGCGCGCTCCTGTTTGCGGGAGACTGCGAAGAGCCTACTGGGAGTAGGTTTGTCAGAAGGCCGATGTGTCTCTCGATGCGCAGACGAGGATTCTCGAGACAGTATGGAATCAGTCCCCGCGCATGGCTTTCAGGGCGGGATACGGATTTGACATCTTCGTTTAGTACAATCGTTCGTATATTGTACCTGCGCTCTTTCGGCGTACGATGTACTGTCTCCGATCAGCAAGGTGCTCAGACAATTGATCTCTTCACTCTGCAAAGCATAATTGGCCATGAGGCCAAGCATGAGCTACACTTACAGAAGTCAACCGCCACGGCTGCAGCAGAAAAGTACCAACGGAGGAGCCCAGCATGGGAATGCTCTCTTATGTCCCGAAAATAGAAGATGCCGTCGTCCGTGACTGGGAGCAGGATATCTGATTCTCCAGGTTGACAAATGAGGGCCTCCAGTGTCGATAGCTCTTGGTCATCAGGCACGCACCATGGTACAGGATGCCAATGATAGATGTCGGATAAAGCCCCATTGACAAACAGGTTGTTCTGCATCACACCACCGATGGTCCTTCGCACAGGGCAATCACCTAGGCCGAATGTTGCACCCACAAGCTTCGCAAACCTTGACGGGTGCCGTTGTTTCGCTAGCATTAGTGCATAGTGAAGAGCATCGCTAAAGGATTGACTGAGGATGTCTTCGCCTGCTTCTTCTGACGCACTGAGATCATCTGTCTGCTGCGCAATCGCGCGCCGTAGAGGTGCCTGAAGCAGGTGCTGCGCGGAAGGGTAACGATCGTAAACGTCAACGTAATCCTCAGGTTGTAGTAATTCAGCAGCGCATACCAGCATGCGACACTTTTGGCGTTCGACGTACTTCAATACTGCGTCCCTATTAGAGCCACACAGCATTCTCAATAGATATCACTTACTGCATCTGAAGCGACCTGCCCGTGAGCGGAGACCCATGTATTCACCACCGTCGTCGATTGAACGCTTAGGGTAGAAGTTGACCTTTTCGAAGGCGCGGTCTTTCATTTCTTCGGCAGCGATGCGGCATGTTATCCGTAGGCCAAGCCGAACGACTTGCTTAGGTTCTGACGACGGGTTCTGGTACAACAGTTTACCGGTTTCGCTATCAAAGTGGTAGCCTTCCTTCTCCGTGAGGTAGTATTCGTAAATAACATCCCGGACCTCTCGAGGAAGGCGAAAGATTGGCGACTGGAGTTGAGCGGAGTAGTATTTCGTTCTTGGCGCGGTCATGAACGGGAATGTGTTCCAATGCGCAAACTTGTTAGAAGGCCTAGCAACAGGTTTAGAAGCCATGGCGATAGATTTCTGGCGTACAATTATCGAGCGACCTTGCTTTATACAAATCGATTAGGTCTCCTGATGTGCTCGAAGTTGATGACTCTTGTTCAGATCACGTAGGGAAGGCGCCGAGAACCATGGATCGCGACTGTAACATCGCGGAACGCTACCCTTGGGAGACATACTCAGGTAGTGACTCATGCGCGGTTATGGTACAAGCCAGTCATCACGACACTCCGCATCCGGATGTGTGGGACGATGACACTCTTCGTCCATGATTACGGAAATGGCGCAGACAGCAAAGGTGTCTTCGATCATGAACAAGGATTGAAGGACAGAAGCGGCAGCGACCGCAGCCCTACAGTAGAGCTTCATACCGATGTTCCGTGAGAATAATCAGCCTTGGTGTGACTCAGTCCCCTGAACCAAATACAAGTCTCTTTCGATGATGAACATGACGTCATAACCTGTAATGAGTGCATAGCTCAACGCACCTCATCTAGTCACATCATGTTCTACAAGTGAAGTGCGTCGAGGAAGGCAAGATTCGTACAGTTCTGGAGTAGCGTATATCAAGGATCCTCTTGACTACTGATACCACAACCCAAAGGCATCCCCATTCCCAAACTCTTGGTTGACGAACCCATCCGTCAGATCGCCAAAGTCAAACCCCGCATTTTCTTCGTCTGGAAATGCGGAATCATGCCGTCCAGTAGAAGCAAAGTCGTGCCCATACGCGCCAGCAAGAATCGTGTCGCTGTAATTGAAATCGCCGTCACCAACGCCCGCCATGAAGTCGTCGAAGACAAGTTCCGGCAAAAGAGGTGCATCCAACTCAGGCGCGTGGGTGAATGGCAGTGCAGTATCGAAAGCATCAGTGGCCTGACTCTGCGACTCGTAGTGATGCTGCTCACGCGATGATCGGAAAGTAAGCGTCCGTGCCAACTTCGAGAGCACATTCGGCCGTCCTTCGCTCGAAGTCGGCCTCTTCCTGCTCGCCTCAATCCCAGCATTTGGCTGCGCATTCCTTTTCCAGTGCGCCATCGTCAGGCCATCCTTGAAATGGTTCGCGACGTGCGTCTCACGATCATCCCATGTCTTCAGCACCTTCGCACAGAAACCGCAAACCCAGTTCTCCACGGCATGATTACCTAGGCCCTCTCGTCTCCAGAGATCGCGGGTGGTCTCATCTAATTTCGCTTTGTGGAAGTTCTTGACGTGCTGACGCAGGTGATCGGGTCGCAGAAACGTTCTTTCGCTTTCGTCCTTGGCCATGCACTCAGCTACGCGGTGGCATTCGGCGAAGTGCTTGTCGCTGGGGTTCGCTGCCATGCAGAACACACACGACGTAGACGCATCTGAACGAGACGATATGGTGAGACTAGGGCCAGTGAGCAAGCATGTCCACTTTCGTTTGGGTCGATGCTGGGTTTCCTCATGGCGGCGCCAGGATTTACGCGCGATATGTTGGTAGCAAAAGGTGCACTGCCACGTCTGCGATTCGCTATCGACATCATCGGTAGATGGAAGTTGTGATTTGGATGCGAACGAATGCGCTTTGGAGACCGAAGTAGGTGCGTTGACAGACTGGCCATAATCCTTCTTCTTGCCTCGCCTAGATGTAGTTGTGTTCGTATGGCTGGAGTCGTCACCTGTGTAATGAGACGTGACCGAATACCGACGATCGGATGGTGCCTCGAAGCCTGATGAGGTTTCTCGGTGCGGCAGCACTGTGGATATTACGCTAGAAAGTCGAGTATTCCGAGCTCCTTCATCTTCCGAGGCCGGGTTAGACGATTTCGCATCGAGAACCCTTCTTCGCGCTCGCGCATTAGTAAACCAGGTAGTAACCTGCTTCTCAGTGATACCACATTTCTCGGCCAGTGAACGCTTGGTCTCGTTGTCTGGATAAGGATTGTTTCGATGTTCTCTCAACCATTCTTGCAGGCATCGCGTCGCATGCGACTCGAGCTTGGTGGGTGGCCGTCGGGCGCAAGAACGTTTGACCTTTGATGGCTGGTCTGACGGAGTTGGAGATAGCAAGCCCGTTTTTAGAGTGCAAGAAGCACAGTTGACGGGCTGGTCTGGGTGAATGAGTGCCGATATCTCGCATGCAGAGCATCGCCCGGTACTCTTGGGTTGGGAGTCGTCTTCCGACGGAGTCACCTTCAAAGCGCCATGTCGAGGTGCTGCAGTCGTCGTCTTTGGTAGTTCAGCAGTACCCAGGACAGCTTCAAGCGTCTCAAATCCTTCACTCGTGCAGTCGTCGCATCTAATGTGCCCGTCGGGGTTGATGATGTTCCAAAGCTGACATCGGAGGCAATCGATACCATCACGCTGCGTCGGCACCAACGATTCGTTACTAGTGCGAACTTTCGCCGTGAACACGTCGACTTCCGTAGCCAGAGGCTCAGTCGAATTGGTGATTGCTCTCGCGCGAATTTCGTCTCCCAGTTCAAGGGTCACAGGTCCGCCAAGATTTGACTGATCGGACTGGTTGGAGGACGTAGGCAACGTTCCATAGATCGTGGAGCTTCCGGCCTGGTCAATCTGCTCAGCGTTAATAATTGCGCAACATGCAACATTGCGCACGATTGTACCTGGAACCCCTCATCATCTTCCAATGTGCCTGATCCGTACCCCGAATCAAAAGACCATATACTAGCGGCCTTACTCTTAGGCGGTTGGGATAACATCGTGTTGAAGCGCTACACTAATGTTACGGTGCGTCAAATCAACGTCTAGACGCCAAGTATCTATTGCAATACCGTCAATGGGACGTGGGAAGTGGACCGCGGGTAGAAATAACTAGACACGTTCCGCGACGACGCGCGAGGACAACCACTCGATCTATTCTGAGATACAGGGTGTTCGTGGCTTGGGCTGGACGCCTAACGTGTGGCACGACTGTGGCGTTGCTTTGCTATTGGCTCGAAGCCTGTCGTTGTCGGGACAGGGAGGATGGGTACCTCAGCCTTGCCTGAGGCTGAGTACATGGAGGGTTGTACTGTTTGCTTGCCACGCTATACTGAGCGTGGCGCTGACCTGGACTGGCGGTGCGCATCAGGAAACTTCCAGACAGGCGGTATGCACTATCTGTGACCAGTATGACGGGCCATGGAACTTCTGTTTGCGCGAGTGCATTTAGTGTCATGAACGAGATCTGTTAGAGGTCGTGGTGAGGAGTCGCCCGTCGCCGATACCAGACGTCATCACGGGGAAGGAACCAGCCTCCCGCGAATTGGCGCCGGGGGCTATCGCGTCACCACCTGGGCATGTTCAAATAGAACAACCCCTGTTCAAGCAACAATATGCGAAAACAAAGATCTTGGGTATTCATTTTTTCCATCTCTCGCCCTACCAAACAATGCCATAATGCTATGGCGCAATTTTGCGAACAATGTGTGTAACTCGAAGTAGAAGGAGAAGCGCTCTATAGCAGTGCGCCTGATCTTATCCATCCCATAACCAGTCCTAGTCCAGCCGCATGCAAAAGATCGTAAAGTCGTTCCATATATTCGTTCCCATGTGTTTTGGTCCTCAAGCGGCTTCTCCAACCACCCCGCTGCCAGCACCAGCGCCCTTGCACCAAGGGTGCTCGAGCACCATGCTGATGGTGATCCTTTTCTCCACATTTCGATCTAGCATCAGTCGCACAAGATCGATGCTCTCTTCCGACATGACCCACGGTACGCGGAGATCATGATCCATGATCTCGTCAATGGAATAGAAGGGGTTTTCTTTGTATATGATGGTGTAAAGGAGGATGCCAAGGGCCCAGACGTCTTGTTCTTTACCGCGGTAGGCTTTTCCAGCTAAGACTTCTGGGGCAGCGTAGTCTGAGGAGCGTTAGTATGACCATAAGGATTCGAGAGTGACGGGGAACATACCAATTGTGCCTACAAAGACGTCAAAGGGTCCGCTTTTGATGTACGCTGCGCTTCCAAAGTCGATGAGCTTGATGTTGCCTTCACCGTCGAGGACGACGTTCTCATCCTTGATGTCTCGATGTACGACCTTCGCTTTGGTGTGCAGATGATGTACCGCTTCTGCGACCTGAACAAAGATCTTACGGCACTCTTTCTCTTCCATGTTGACACGTAGCTCAATATAGTCGAAGAGGTCCATGCCCGGTAGACCGTGTGGTATCATCTCGATGTAGTAGTTGATGTCATCCTCGAAGAAATCGGCCATTTCCACAATGTTAGGGTGTTTAAAGCCGTCGCGGCGGAGATAGTCCAGGACGTGAATCTCGAGCGGCACAGTTCCAAGCCTTCGGTCTCGTGTCCACGTGTCGACCAAGATGCGCCGCTTCGTAACATACTTGATCACAACCTTCTTGTTGCTGTTCTTCTTGTATCGACATAGCTTGACTTGCCCATAGGCGCCTTGGCCCATATCCTCCAACACTACAAAATCATTGATAGTCTTCTTCTGGGATGGCTCATCCTGTGCAGGTGCTGGCGGCGGTGCCATGGCTCCTTTCTGAGATTGTTGCGGAGTATTAGGCCGCATGGCTTCTTGAATCTGCTGTGTGAGGAGTGAAACTGTAGGCGGTGTTCCTTGCGATTGATGTGATTCGGGTTCTTGTGGCACGGAGAAACTGGACTGGCCTGGCTCTGGTTGGCGGGGTGAGGGTGGCCGTGACATAAGGGGAGTCACTGGACCGATACCGTGGTTCGCAGCGTGCAGTTGCCTGGAGTATGTTATCCACAAAGCGTAGACCAGCTCTGGACCCTTGTTTGGTTTCGATGACCCATCTTCCTCTTCAATGACATTCTCATCAAATCGGGGTGACTTTTCGCTCTTCACAACTCGCATTTGCACGTCAACCATTATTTCTGATCCGTCGCGATGTAAGGCTGGCAGACCACTTGGTCGCAGGAAGATGGCTGCGGCATCTGCACTACCTTCCCGCATTGCGAGCAGGGCTCGTGCGCGACGAAAACTGTGTTCGGGAATAACGATCCCGTCAACCAGCTCTATCTTGTCCTCGTCTGTCATGACGTGCAGAATTCTGTCGAACGCGGGTATGAGCTTGCTGACGTGGATACCTTCAGGTCGCGGCTGCCCAAACAGAGCCGCGGAGAACACGGAATTGGAACTCGTAATTTTGAGGTCGTCGGACGATAGGACAATGATGCCGGCGATGTGAGGGAAGCTAGATATGCGGAAGGTAGGTTCGCCAGGCAAGGCTTCCACAGTCACGGGTATATTGATGCTGTTCGACGTGCGAGCTGTGTAGCTGCGGAACTCGTCAATGGAGTCGTAGTCTAGTACTCCAGTGTTTGTTCCTCGGAGTCGTGGTATACCTGGTATGAGACGCTTGAGATCCATGCCCCTCCGTAACCGATCGCTCCCGAAGACAGCTTCCGTTGCGCCCCAGCCCTTGGATACGCAGCCTGTTTCGTCGACCGTGATGTACACAACGTCTTCGGCGATCTCTTCAAGCACCCATATGAGACTGCCCCGCTTCTCTTTGACCCACAAGCTGGCCGACCCAGTCGAGCCGTCGCGTTTCTGTATCGGAATAACGTCTCCACAGAGTAGGACGCCCCTTGAGCCCTTGTGTTCATGGTTGAGCTTGCCGGTCTTCTTCGCGTTGTAGTATGAAGATCCACTGCCGTCGTCGGTTTGTGCTTTCCTCGCAGCTGTCACTCGTGATGGAGCCTTGCTCAGTAACCGCGCTGTGACACCGCTGCCGACCTTCAGATTGTTGTTGGCAGCCGATACTCCAGACGGCGCGTTCTTCGAGCCACTTTCAGGATCCTTCAGCTTGCTCTCGAGCCATTTCCTGCGGTCCTCACGCACAACCTCGAGGATGCCCAGCTTACGGACCTCCGCCCTTGTTACTCCAAATACCAAGCATGCCAAATCGTTTGCGGATGTGATAGTCCACGGCGTGTCTGTCTCGGTCGTAAAGATGGCCTGTGCTGCTGGAGCGTGTCGACTTCCGTGTCCATGCGGCGCTGAGCCCGCAGAGTGAGGCCCTGGTGCATTGCTGAAACTCGGTGGGAGAGTCGGTATGCTCGCAGGAGAAACGAGGTCTCCGATCTTCTCCTGGTCTCCGACCCGGTATGGCTGTGCAAGGGCATCGTGGAGCTGACTTTGTATCGTAAGAGGCGCGACGTCGGTGAGGGTACGTTTTAGTGCGGCTCGTTGGGGTCGTGCAGGCTGCGAGGAGGGTGGAGGTGGAGAGGCGGCCGCTACGCGTGTGCTCGACGCGTCGGAGGTCAAATCGGTACTCGATGAGCTTCGTCCCTCTCGAGAGTCTGACGTGCTGCTGTTATCGGCTACGTCGATTGTAGTCGCCCTGTGTACTGGGGGTCTCGCTGCTTCGAGCATGCTCTCTGGGCTCGCTGACCGATCGACAGTGAATCCCTTCTCGAATGGGTTCTCGCCGGACATGTCGGCGGGACCTGTCACTGGGCCCAAAGCACCCAGCCCATGGGCTCCTGTGCCATCTTGACCTATGAGGTTTGCCCGGGTCAGGAGCTCCATCATGCTCTGCACTTCTTGATCGCCGCTGAGTTTGGCTTGAGCGTTGGCTATGCCGGGATTGGTCGCAGCCCAGCCGAGCCTGTCTCGCATGAACTCGATGGAGCGCTTCAGCACATTCTGGCGGTTGTGTATAAACTCTTCGGATTGGGTCGCGAACGAGAACGAGTGCAGGGACTCCGAGGGAAAACGAGTGAGGTCCTCGCCAAAGGCGAAGGTCGGTGATGCGGGCGCTGTGGGCGTGGACTCTGAGGGGTGCCTCGACACTGGCGGAGTCGCGATGTTCAACGAAGCGGCTCGCTGGGTCGTCTGCAGCTGTCGTGGGCCTGGCTGTTGGCGAATGCGACGCAGGCCTGAAGAGCCTAGGCCGTGTTCATGCTCAGACACAATGGGCGACCTGGAGTATGTGTCAGCCGTTAGCCACGGAGCGGAGAAAGCTCCTGCCTGTCCAGCCTCTCGCACGTTGCACTCACCTGGCCATGCGGTCCAGCTGCCCTGCATCGATGCTCAGGCGCTTGGCCGTGTCGATGGGTGGCGGCGGCCCCGTCCGCCAGCTCAGCAGGCTGGATGTGCTTTTCGTCTTGACCAGCGGGGCATATTCGGAGAGGTGCTGCGACTGTGCGAACGAGTCGAAGGGTGCTTCTTCTGGTAGAGAGCCTGGCGGGGTGAGGGCGTCAGCAAGCAGATCCATGCAGCAGAGCAGTAGGTGGTCCAGGTGGCAGGCACGGCGGGTGTCTATTATCTACTGAAGCAGCTCGGTGCCGTTCCTCTCGCAGTCCACGGGTGCATTGAGCGGTGAAGCTTACAAAGCGGGCCATATCTCGCCGGTGGCAGAGGCAGACGCCGTGGAGGCAGTCGCGGGCATCACGACTCGGGGCAGAGGGTCACTTGACGTACCATGATCATTTGGCCTGCTCATTCCCTGAGGCGTACGAGCGCCTGTTCCCAGGCCTGGGCACAAGTCTCGGCTCGGTAAGACTACGCGCAGCGAATGACGACGAGAGGGCCAGTCTTGGTCTACAGGCACACAAGTCAATGTGTACTGACCCGGTGTCGCGTTGGGGGCGGCGGCGGTATCGCTTCTGGGGTACGGGTGCAAGATGCGCGGGCGGGCGGTGGTGCAAAGGCTTTGGCGGGGAATGCAGGGCTGATGGGGCTTGGGTCGGATATCACCTGCGACGGAAGCGGCTGTTCAGTAAGAAATGCGACGCGTGGAGCGGACTAGAGTCAAGGGTGATCAGTGGGCGTGTACAGTGAATGGCATGTAGTTACGTCGCCCGCACTATGGATGCGACTTGAGACGGCAACGGCGTTATTTGCATTGCGCCTACGCTGGCCCCGCGAAGTGCACAGACGATGCACCCGCCCTCGACGCTACCAGAGATCTGATCTACCATAGACTGGGGCGGGACACCATCATCATACTCCACGCCTGCCTCACCGCACGCTAGACGTCAAGGTTGCACAAGACTCCAAATCTGCTTTGCCCAGCTGAAACCTAGTGTCTACCATGCTTGCCATGTACAATGCTTCTTGCGGCGCATCCCACTTGTCCCACAAGCTTCCCCAGCCGGACCTGTCATCATCCGTCCGACAAGCCTCCGCTAGCCTTCCTTCTGACATGTGCTGCTCTGCCGCCTCTTCCATCGCTTTGCGCAAAGAGCAAACGTTCCGCCAATCTAGCCGACGTTCATGTCGTCATAGCATGCCCTGAACAACACTATATACACTACCGGCACCCAGCAACAATATGCACAGTGAATGTGGAAAGTAACAGATGTCACTTGTTCAATGGAGGCCTCTGAATTCTCTGCTCATCATGCAGAAAGTCGTGCAGGTTGCGACCACCGTGATTAGCTCCGCATGCCCCGGACAACACCATTGGCTGAACATCGCTCGCATGCATGCCGTGTGCTGTACCCATGCATTCATCCTGGAGATGCGAACTTCAAGCCATCAGTGTTGTCGAAGAGTGTCTTTGTGCTGGTTCCAGAAGTTCCTACAGCCTAGTCTAGAGTCAGCAATCGTCTTCATCACAGCCATTTCATAGACACACCTCGATGCATGTTGACCTGGTCAATCCACCACTCGCCAAAGCTATCGTCCGTGGCCATATCCGCTGCAGTTACTCTCTCCTCTCGTTTTAGTCCACACAGCATGCAGGGCTGCCGTGCGGGAATACCGCCCTCGGACTGCTTGAGTGTCTTCACTGGCATCGTCTCTTGCAAATCCGGTCCACGGTCTAGAGTGCCCGCCTTGATTTGATTTGCGCCAGACACGACATGGCGTAGTCGCCCAACCTGTTCTTTCCAGCTTCTGACCACGTCGGAAACCTCTCGCTCTTCTTTCATGTTCTCGCCCTTATCAATGCCCGTCAACTTCATTCCAGAAGTCGCTCGTGATGACGCTGGGCCAATTCGCATGCCTTGAGACAGATGTTGGTCTCGCTTCCAGCGCAATTTCCTTCCTGCTATGATGTGCGCCGCGACGTTTCCGAGTATAAGATAGCCCTGGAGGTAGGCAATCGTCGCGGGCTCCGCTAGTAGCTTGTTTCGCATGGGCAAAGGTTGGGCTGCCATGGGTTTGAACAACTTCTCCTGTGCTTCGGCGAAGAGAGAAGGGAAAAGTGATAGCAACACGCCGGGTGGTGGCACGTTCGTAGGAGGTAGTTCGCCTGCCTGTGGATCTGTTGTTGTAGGGGAAAGTATCGGAGCTGGTGTGACATTCATTTTGGCATTGCTAGTCGACTTCACGGCTTCGGGTTTGCTCGGTGCTTTACTAGGAATGGACGCCTCCCAGTCATCGAATTCATCCCATCCGTCATCTTCTTGAGCCACTGCGGGTGGTGGCACGGGTTGCTTTGGTTTGGCCATAGCACCAAAGCCTGTGCCAGGTTTCTTGTTCGTCGTTGCTTGAAGCTTTGAACCCCGACTTGCGTTAGCAGTATCTCTACTACTCGTGCTGGGTGGTTGAGCCTGTGCTATGCTCATGTCGCCTAGTAGGTCCACAATCGCCGAAGACGATGCCACGGGTGCCGTAGACTGCGTTTCACTCTCCTGTTCGCCTTCGAAATCGCCAAAGTCGTCATCATCATCAAGATCATCTTCCGCGTCGAACAAAACGCTTGGGTCGGCTGATTTCTTGGCCTTCACGATTGGCGCTCGATTCCATGTCTGCTCCAACGGCTGCGAAGATGATTGCGATGCAAATGCAAAAGGATCGTGGGTCGTTGAGGTGATGTTCCATGCATTTGATTGTGGTTGGACGACCGGAGGTGATGCAAATGCGAACGGATCTTGTTTGGCGGCAGGAGCGGGTTCTAGAGATGAGCCGCCCTCAAAATCGCCCCAGTCGTCATTGTCTTCGACAATAGACGCTTGTTCGTAAGTCGAACCAAAATTCTGAGTGTTGCTCGTTGAAGGAGGTTGCTGCGACGGTGTTGCTAAAGTCGGAGCGTTGTTCAGGCCGTTGAAGAAGTTGAAGTTCGATGCAGCAGGTGCACTTGTTATGGCGTTGGGTGCAGGCTGCGATTGCTGTTGAGTAGGAGGGGGGTCTGCTCCGAACTCCGCAAAAAGATCTGCCGACATGGTTCCTCTAGAGAGATTGTAATGTGAGGGCGTAGAGCGATGGTGACTTGCATGCGGTTAGTAGCCTTGGAAGTGATGGCCAGCGCTAAATCCAAAACAGTGGGTCGGTTCTTGAAGCCATCAACCAGCCACGGTGTTGGCTCAAGCACCGGCGCGGCAGGCATGTCTTTCCACACCGAAAAGTCCTAAACAGGTTTGCAGCCTACATCAACGTGAAAATATGCAAAGTAGATGATCCAACGTCAATGTAGGCTCCAGGCTGTTCATATTTTCCATGAGTGAGGTGCTTTTTCCAAGCCCAAGATGATAAGTACACGGTGAACAAAGCTCATCAGTCCGCGGCGAAACCTGCCTTGGTCCTTGGAGCACTAGAGGTGGCAACGAAGCGTGTCGCATACATGGTATTATATTCTGACAACTAGACAGTCCCTGAGTTGATGTATGCGTCTAGCTCCATGATCAATTCGTAGAAGTCGACACAACTTACAACCACCCGGGGTGGAAACCTCAAGGATAACGACATTGGGTCTACCAAGTCAGAGGAGGCAAGAAGCACGGCCAAGGGAGGAATAAGTCAAGACACCATCAAGTCACTCACGAATGCAGAAGAGGTGTTATTGTTCATATCCCACCCATGTTTTCATTCAGATCATTATGGAAACTATGGAAGGACGACGCCAGGACCCCAGACCGTTATGCATGACACGTTTCAAAAGTCATCACAGCTTTTCCGAAGCAACCACATCCCCAGAACCAGGTATCTAGAGACGAAAGAAGAGAAACAAGCAACCCAAGAAGAGAGCGCTTATTTCTTGGAAGCCTTCTGGGCGGCCTTGGTGACCTTGCCAGCCTTGTCGGCCTTGGCGACGGACTTGATGACACCGACGGCAACGGTCTGACGCATGTCACGGACAGCGAAACGACCGAGGGGAGGGTAGTCAGTGAAAGCCTCAACGCACATGGGCTTGGAGGGAACCATCTTGACGATGGCGGCGTCACCGGACTTGATGAACTTGGGGGAGTTCTCAACAGACTTTCCGGTACGGCGGTCAATCTTCTCGAGGAGCTCGGAGAACTTGCAAGCAATGTGGGCGGTGTGGCAGTCGAGGACTGGTGCGTAACCGGCACCGACCTGACCAGGGTGGTTGAGGACGATGACCTGGGCGTTGAAGGACTCGGCACCCTTGGGGGGGTCGTTCTTGGAGTCACCGGCAACGTTGCCACGACGGATCTCCTTGACGGAGACGTTCTTGACGTTGAAGCCGACGTTGTCACCGGGGACACCCTCGACAAGCTGCTCGTGGTGCATCTCGACGGACTTGACCTCAGTGGTGACACCAGCGGGGGCGAAGGTGACGACCATACCGGCCTTGATGATACCGGTCTCGACACGACCGACGGGCACCGTGCCAATACCACCAATCTTGTAGACATCCTGGAGGGGAAGACGGAGGGGCTTGTCGGTGGGACGGCTGGGAGGGTCGATGGCGTCAATGGCCTCGAGGAGGGTCTTACCAGTGGCCTTGGCCTTGGTCTCCTTCTCCCAACCCTTGTACCAGGGGCAGTTGGAGGAAGCCTCAATCATGTTGTCACCGTTGAAGCCGGAGATGGGGACGAAGGGAACGTGCTTGGGGTTGTAGCCGACCTTCTTGATGAAGTTGGAGGTCTCCTTGATGATCTCCTGGTAACGCTCCTCGGACCACTTGGTGGTGTCCATCTTGTTGATGGCAACGATGAGCTGCTTGACACCGAGAGTGTAGGCGAGAAGAGCGTGCTCACGAGTCTGGCCATCCTTGGAGATACCAGCCTCGAACTCACCAGTACCGGCGGCAATGATGAGAATAGCGCAGTCGGCCTGGGAAGTACCAGTGATCATGTTCTTGATGAAGTCACGGTGACCGGGGGCATCAATAACAGTGACGTAATATCAAAGGGGAAGTCAGTGTGTGTCTCGAATGCACTGGGTAGAGCCGGAACTTACTTGGGAGTCTCGAACTTCCAGAGAGCGATATCGATGGTGATACCACGCTCACGCTCGGCCTTCAATTTGTCGAGGACCCATGCGTACTTGAAGGAACCCTTACCGAGTTCGGCGGCTTCCTGTGAGGCTTATTAGCAGACTGAAGCCGGATTGGGAAAATTGGATGTGCGTCATGGTGTTGGGGTTCGCGAAAGCCGCATGCGGACTAGCGCTAGCGCGTAAAAGTTCGCACAACCCCACCACCCAAAAATGCCCCTCATCGCGATAAGCCGGAAATGGCTGAGCGCTCAAAGGTGCACTGGACGGTCGCGGATGCCCGTGTGAAAGGAGAGTGATGCCGTACCTTCTCGAACTTCTCGATAGTACGCTTGTCGATACCACCGCACTTGTAGATCAAGTCTGTATCCCATTGTAAGTTGTGTGACCCCGCAGGCGTTCGGAGAGGGAGGGCTTACGGCCGGTGGTGGTGGACTTTCCGGAGTCGACGTGGCCGATAACGACCACGTTAATGTGCATCTTCTCCTTACTGCAGACATTGTTAGTGAGCTGTACTAAGAGAGGAGGTGGCGGCCTAGGCTGCTGGAGTGGGCGATGTCGAGACTCCAGAGATCTGAGGCAGAAGGCGGGGGAGATAACTTACCCCATGTTGGCGGTGTTGTGTAGTTTGCTTTGGTGGTGGTGAGGGGAAGTTGTTTGATACTCAGATTTACAGCGCGCGGTGTAAGGTATGAGTTGGACGAAGAAGAAAAAGTGAGCGATGGAGGGGCTGGGTGTTGCTAATATACTTGGAGGGCTGAGTGGGTCCGTGCTAGTTTTAGGCGCTAGCCCCCCGTTGGGCTACGAAAACTCCTTCACTTGCAACGAATTCGACTGTGAAAGAGGCAAAACGGGTCCTGTTCATTGGCCCACATGCCATGGAGCCCTTCCAACCGCCCTGACCGCCTACTGTGAGCTCGCCACAGCCGCAGTTGCCTCACGCGAGTCTTTTGGTGCATCGTCATTGCTGTCCATCAGCCCTTTTCGTACCAGTTGATCCGCGTCACCTACGCGCTACAGCTTTTGCTTTTGCACAAGGCTCGATTGTTACCTTCATTCTCGATTCACTTTACCTGGAATAATAATCCAGTATGCAGCCTTTGCGCTGAAACCACCTCGGTGTCACTTTTGCCGCACTGCAAAACTTTTGGCGGGGTACTGAGATTGCCATCATACCGTGTACCCAGCCCCACTACAAGCGGAGTCTATTGTGGCCTTGTCGATGGTACCGCCCAGTTCCTGCACACCACCGTGTTCAATTTCCTTTCTCCGCTGATAGCCACTCCCTCTATTGCTTTTACCGCTACCTTGGGCATTGATGCTTATGGAGCCAGAACAATGGGTCTGGTTTGACTCACACGCGCTATCGCAGACGCCCAATATCAGAGGACCCAACTATCGTGGAACCGTCCTTTGAGCTGTTCAACGCCGCCCCTTGCCGGACGTACCGCAGTTGGAAATTCCACTGCCCCTTACATCACTCAGTGGTCTTGCTCAAAGGAACCCTGCTACGAGGGGATCTATCGGCATCCCGACACGGTACAAGCGTTTCAGTCTGATTCCGAGGAATGGTAGACTCCCAAAGCTTCACCGACAATCCTGCTGGCCACCAAAGACATGACATTCAGCTTGTTTGCACAGGCCGCCTTATTCAAGGAGGGAGCAAATCTGAACAGCCTGGAGCCTACGTTGATATTGGCTCACCTACTTTGCAAGGTTTTACCCCAATGTAGGCTGCAGACCTGTTCAGATTTCTCCTTCTATGAGGCGAGGTCATGTGCATCGGAAGGACATAAACATACGCAGTAGGATGTAACCCTCGCCGTATTCGATATATTCACCACTTTGGGCTGGTCTCTTCACACCATTAGCAGGATCTCGTATAGTATGATGCACAAATCACGATGGCTAATGTCAAGGGTTCTAAGACTTCAAGAAGCTATCGCTACATCGTTCTCTAGGCTCACTCGCCCACATTTACGACACCGAGCCACGACTTTCCACCACGCATCCGAAACGAAACGTTCCAACCCTACAACCCCGCTCCCCCTCACTGCGATCGCGCGTACCCATACAATATAACAGGACAAGGGAGAAGCACTTCTTGATTTAGATGGAGAGGACACTTCGTACAAGGGAATGGCGAGTAAGCCTGAGGCCTACATGAGAACAACAATACGCAAATGAGCGGATGTAGCGTCATTGTAGGCTTCACGGTGTCTAGGATTTCTCTTGATCGAGGTGAGTAGACTTTGCCGGAAACGCTATCATCCTACATGCATAGTAGGTGTGGGAAGCACTGTGGATATCCTTCATGCTCATTCGCTGCGTCCACTGGTCATACTCCGCGAGTATCAGGGTGCTGGATCGGCTCCAGGGTGGGAAGACAGAGGGCCAGGGCAATCGTCGCATACTCTTTGGAAGTATTCTCCGAGCAAGGCCCACACACCCAAGGCTTGGATGCCACGCAACACACTAGACGGATTCCTATGTAGGGACCTGTTCCGCGATTGTTAGACAGTACCAAGTCTCCGCAGCTCATCGACCAATGTATCACTTATGCTTCTACATCCCATTCTCTTTACACTAAAGCAAGAAGACTTTCTCTCTCTACACATATAGTTATTCTGTTATCTTCTGAGCTCTAGAACTGTATAGTCACGAAGCCACTACGTGATGAGCTCATAGTACAGAATTCAAGCTCTTTCTTCATCCATACGCTACCCCCGTCATGAATCTCCGCGACTGTGAGTAGCATGATACGGAAAGGATGTCTGCTGTCTTATGCGATCTATTGCGCCACTTTCTCTCGGAAGGCATTCCCATGAAGGGTTATCACACACTCATCGACAGGTACAACCAGTCAATGAATTGGCAGCAATAACTTCAGAGTCTGCAGAGGTCACAGTGAAGACTCACAACTCCGCTGTCTCGATGCCAGCGTGATAGCAACACTTGAATCATCTCAAACCGCGTCAACTACTATACTACGTTCAGAAACGCGGGGATTGAGGTTTATGGGACCAATCGTGCCTTTTACAATGGTCATTTGTTCTCTTCTCATTCATGCGTCGGACAAACAGTATCGAACGGCGGCAGCGTTTGCGAAGCGGCCATTGCGAGAGTGTTCGAAGGAACAATTATTGGCTAGACATACATTGGACGGACTTGGAAAAGTGATCCATTCGTCAAAAGATTTACCGAGGCGGCTGGTAGTGAAGCTGAAATCAGCGTCGAGAGAGTTGAAATACATATTGACTACTTCGATTTGGCTTTCCCACATAGGCTCATTGTGAATGGCATGTAGCTGCCGCGTTTTGTGGTGTCGCAGGCTAGTGATCAAGTTTCGTCGACGCGTATGGCCTGGTGAGAAATGTGGCAGACCTTCATATCATGACGTTGTTGAACTAGAGGTTCTGATAATACGGCGGTCGTCGCATCCTGAATAGATTGAGTACATCGTTTAGATCCCAATAGTTATCTTATCACTGTGGCTAAGTGGGACACTCCGGCACCTACAACTAGTCTACCCACACGTCGTTCAACAGCCACTGCTGTCCAGCCCATTGCTCTTTCACGACCGGCCAGATGAGTTCTGGCGGCAGAACAAAGCCGCCACCTGCTTGATCTTGAGGACTCAGCTCCATCGTCCACGAGTGGTTCGCGCCATGCACAGCATAGTGGTGGTCTCTCGAGTTACCGGTTGAGAAGTAAAGAATCTGACATCCAGGACCGAACTCGTACGTGCTGTTCTTTGTGCTAGCAGCCATGATGGCGTTCGCAGTACCATCAGCAACCTCAAGCATGCGAGGAAGGGTCTCCGGGAGCGGGTCGCACGAGAAGCCATAAGGAGTGAGAATGAGCTGGCCGTACGAGTGGAAGTCGATGAATGACCGAATACCAGCGCCTGTCTGCGCTAGTTGGGCTGAGAGACTGTCCATGGCTTGGTTTTCAGGCGTGTCACCTGGTGCTTCTCCGCGGTATGTCTGGCCACAAGGATCAGGTGTTGACCCACCCTCTGGTGGCTCAGCATCCCACTCGTACTTCCAGTTGCGGTTGCCGTCAGTACCAAGGCAGGTAGTGTTGATGTTTGGGCGTGGCTGACGGTTCTTGCGCCATAGACGGTCGTTGGTTTGCGTGTACAAGAAGCCATCGGGGTTGTGAAAGGGAACCAGGTAGAAGTCGTAGTAGTCCAGGAAGGTGGTCACATTGGCATCACCCTTCTTATAACCGTCGATCAGTTGGTAGGCCAGGTACTCAATCACTATTTCGATTAGCTAATGTTCACATGAGTAGCGATGCACCATCTTACCCATGGTCGATATCCACTCTCGGGCATGGACTGTCGCATGCCAAAGGATGACTGGCTTCTCTTCTTGCTTTCCGTACCCTTTCTTCTCGTCTCCATGAAGATGGAACGCCCAGATGGTCCGGTTCTCGTAGCTTTGTCCAATTGGAAACTTTTTCGAGTTCTTGGGGAATGCCTTGACTAGATCGTCCCAGTATTGGAGATGGTCGGCATACGGACGATAGGTGTCAAACCATGAGAGATCTGGCAACTCTCCACGCTTGTGTAGGCCCCTTTTGTATACGACTTCCTTATCAGTCGCGCGTATGTAGTGGCCCAAGTCAGAATTGACAAGGCGAGCCTTCAGACCCAGAGCGTTGAAGGAGTCGACCTCTTCGGGTGGAATAGCGATGGACAGGGTGTCGCGAATGGGATGAGTGTGGTATTGGGAGAAGCGCTTCCCGAGATCACGAGCCTCGTCAGCAGAAGACGGGGTGACTGAATAGACGTGGTAGCCATCGTAGCTGGCTTTAGCACTGCGCGTCACAGAGCTGTCACGAGGCTGGAAGGGAGACGCTGCAGCCAATTGAGCGGCGAGCAACACTTTCGTCCACTTCATGATGCACAAGAGTCGAGTTCAGTGCTGACAAGAAGCCTCCGCGGTCAATCCGAAGATATTATATACCCATCCATGGATGCTGTCAGAACCTTATCGTGCGATGAAGGCCAAGCAAATGATGATGCAACGGTTCGAGTTCATATCGCAGTTTCGCATAGAGATATCGCCATGACATCCGGCGCTTGCTTCATAACGAGTATGCGGAGTGTCGTTCAACGGCAGCCAAGAAGACGCCGAGACGTTGAGGTACCTTGGATATCACCAGCTTCCTGATCTGGTCTCGCCGCCAAGGAGTGCGACATGGTACGTATCCGCCTTCCCCTCACTCCGGGTATACTGATAAAATTACGAATCATGCTCCGTGCGGTTCTTGGTTCTGCGGGGCGCTGCTATGGTACACAATTTGAAGGGAGTGAGAGTAGACTCATGTTGTGAGTTATTAAACCAGGCTCGCGAGAAAGCTGGAAAAAGTAGAAGGACCACTTCTGAGCTTTATGACGTCGTGCCTGCTTCTACATTGATAGAGTTTGGTGTTCCATCAAATGCGCGCTAGGTACGAGCAGAGCTAAGCAAAAAGAGCCTCTGCCTACCACATCCTTTCATACAGGCAGCAGGCAGGCAAACAAAAAGAAGTTGCGCCTATGCGTGTCCTGCAAAGACAAAAAAAAGAATGCTCTTGCGAGCTGCTGTGTGACCTAACCAGGGGTCGCTTTTCTTGGCGTTAGCGACGGTATTCGAACGTGGGCTCTGGGAGCTACTTACAACCTGGAATCTCTTGATATCGAGCGAATCGTAGTCAAGCGCCTTGCCATTGGGCCATTAGGCCAGTTGTACTGCTGATGGAGAGCAAGCCAAATTTTCCATACATATACACGAAACAAACAGAGATTGTACGATCGCGCTAAAGCGCGGGGCTACTCCCACATGTACAGCCAAACGTCACTAGCCCCACCATACCTCTCCTTCAATTCGACGCACGTATCTTAGGCACCTACCATGACAGCATCCATCATGGCCGTCACACACCAAAGACGCCGCTCGCTGGCGCAAGGTAACAGCGCTATAACCTGAAGGCCGCCCTTCAAGCAGGAGCTACTTCCGCAATTCCCATGTGTGGCTTCCTTCCATCCAAGACATACACTCCTCAGCCTCAACAACCAAGACCGACAATGTCTACAAGCAAGACTGAGATATACACCGCGCACTACGACAGCAATCAGTTTGTGGTCGGAGGCGGCGTCGCGATCTTTCACCTCGCGACGAGTCGTGTGGTGATATGCAGTTGCGTTCATCGAGGACGAAAGTTCTACTTCCTTCCCAAGGGCAGACGCGACGCCGGCGAGGAGAGCGGCACGGGCGCAGAAAGAGAAGGATATGAAGAAGTACGCGAGAAAACAAATCCTTGCAGCGGAATGCGTACTAATCGCATGAACAGTCGGGCTACCGTAACCGTCTTCTCCCTCTACCCACCGTACATCGGCAGCCGCAAGCCCACCCACGCGTCCACGCTTCCCCACAGACTGCCGAACCAGTCTCTATGCAACTCATGCCTCTCGGTACGCGACAATACATAATCTACTGGTACATCGCCGAGACGCTTCCTCCAAACCTCGAGACCCTGCTTGAGACGGAAGCCGGCGCAGTATACAAACCGCCACCAGCATACCCTCAGAACCTCTCTCTACGCGAAAGGATAAAACAAGAACCTGAGGGATACGAGCCAAGACATCATGAGAACACGGGGGTAGATGAGCTGGAAGTCACGTATGAGAGTCATCTCGTGAGCGTGGAGGAGGCAATGGAAACGCTGGGGAAGGAAGGCAGTATGGGTCGCGTTATGGCGGAAGTGGTGAGGAAAGGCTGGGAGGGAATACAAAGGAGATTCGACATGGAGGACGCTGCTACGCATGAGAGCCCGGAAGCAGTTTGATGCACACGAAAAGACGCGACGAAGGAATGATTCCAGGAAGTTTCCTTTGGGTCGGACAACTGCTACAGCGATAGTGTCACTCGTATCCACGGTCTTCGTCCGCAGTCGACTAGAGCTTATCAAGTGAAATGCCCAACACTACGAATTACGCAATCTCAGTAACTTCAGAATCATAAAATCACTCCCTATCACATCAACCCCATCCATCAGCCACACCCACCACGTGTCTTCGCTACCGCAACACTCCCCCCGTCCAACAAACCTCGCTTCAGCAGAGCAATCTACCTCACCCCACAACGTCATGCGCGTGTTATCAGGATTAAATGAAGCAACCCCGCCCCGCGCACGCGATAACCGTTTTCTCAAATAGTGGTAGCGACGGAGCATTTTCTTGAGCCAGGTAGCAAGAAACCTGCTCGCGCCGGCTCTTCTTATATTGCATTGCCCCATCCGTGCGCGAGCACGGCGTATATTCGCATGCAGCGGGGACGCACAGATGGCGACGGGGTGTTTTCTTCATTTGCCGTGTGTCGCACATGAATGATGTTCATGGGTTGTGATTTGAAGGACGGTAATGGATGATTCGTTTGATGTGCGGTGTGTAAGTAGGCAGAAGCTCTGGACCTCGACAGCATTCGTTGCGGGTTGACCGGCTAAGCGACCAAGGCCCCTGCTCTGTTCTTCATCCTCGTGGGCAATCCTTCAATATTAGCCAAGCGTCATACGAACGTCAATTATCACGAGCATCTGACAAAGACGTGATAAATTTTCCGAGGCGCAGCAGTATGGTCGTGGTTGGTGGAAACGTTATCTGCACATGTAGAGGCTCGGGAGGTGCACGGATGGGGAATGCGGACGTTGAACATGCAGGACGGCTCGTGTTGAAGGTCAGGTCTGGATCCTGAAGGAGCTGTGTGAGTCGATGAGGGACTAGAGGCGGGGTTTGATAAAGAGCCGGTTGCTGAGGAGGTGTAGTGATAGCAGGTGTGTTATGATATGTTTCCAAGACGGGTAAGTCAGTTCTTCCAATCATACTTCTACCAGCTCTTTTGTGTACGAGATACAGCTTTCGACTTTAGTCCGGTATGACGAAGTCCGGACGCATACAGGGATTGTTTGCGATCGTTGAAAGTCTAGGAGTAAAGAATCCACTGTTCGAGATCTGAATTGTTTGAAGACTGTGATTACGAATGGAATGTGGTGGATCTAGCTGCAATGCCCATGAGATCAATGCGAGGTGACAACATAACGTGGGAGTAATTGCGCAAACGTCTACAGGGTCGATGTGTTGCTCCGGATCCTTCTGAGGAAGATGCAAAGGTACGTAACTGTCCGATACCGTGGTGATGCGAGTTGGTAGTACGTTTTGGTGAAATATCCGGTCACAGGTGGCTGCAGCTACACCAGCTAAAGATCGGGATCTATTACCCCCGCCAGCTGCACGCTGGACTTGCTCGGATACCTCTCTGGCATCATGAACTACGTATCTCTGAAATCATGGCGTTTGTTGAGGTCCAGTCAACGGAGTTGACACTGCCCATACGTAAGCAGTGCAGACCAACATACGTACTCCGTCAGCACGATGTACATCTACAAGCATCGCGACGCGGAAGTCTTGTCCAGACTTGAAGGACGATCGACATATCCGTTTGCTCAGCTGCAAGCCTTCCGTTCTTTTCATGCACGGTATTCAGCCGCGATCTGGTGTTCGCGCACCTTCGGATCTCCTCACATCGTCCGGATTGCTGTAGAGCTACAGCGACTGGAGGAGCGTTGTGCAGTGCAGCATGAAGGCGCGCCAGCATCGATGCCTATGGATGAACTACAGCGACTTGTTGAGTACAGATGAGGCGCTTTGAAACAACCGGGCCGTTGTATCTCCCAGCGCTCCCGTACACGGGAAGGCGCACTAGAAATGCACAGCGCGCGGGTGGCAAGCGCCGGAGGCCTATGGTCGCTGAGGTATCATAAGAAGATACCGAATAAGAGTACGCGGAATCGATTCTATACGAGGGTTTCAGATAAGCGTTCGTGATGGAGGAGTTTGTTCGCTCGGCGGACGCGCGTCGTAGTCGTTGGGCTGCGGCAGGATCAGGTTGCTCACAGCCAGCCGTCGAGCGAAGGCGGATGGAAGATGTTGCTGATGCAGTATCGTCCCGTCGATATACGCATGTTGTGTGTCAGGGTGTGCAACAGGTGTCCGAATCGCAGCAGGGGCATGAGATTCACTTTCTAACGATAACGCTAATGCAACTCACTACTAGGATCAGGGTATGCCATGTCAGGAAAGAGCGATGAAAATCGAAACGTTGTTGACTTGTCATCAATTCTGAGGTGATAGAGATATGTACACCATCAGTCAAAGTAGACGCCTTGAACACCAAACAAGCATCGCCGTGCTCGTGAAAGAACCGTTGTGGTGACGTGATAACATTGATAGTTAGCCCGAAGGCGCGCCCGACCACATGAATATTTTGTCTTCGTGCCTGCTCCACAGGATAAGATACAAGGAGTGTAAAAGGAGACCAAATCAAGCGATGATGCGGTAAAGAAAAGAAAAGTAATGTATACAGCGAAGTAGTAGATGCAAGCATGTCCTCATTAGATCCAACATTGGTCCTTCCAAACATGATAGATTGCAAGGCTAGAGATCAATGGACGAAGGGTATACCCATGTGACGAGACCAGAGATGAATAGGGAGGATACGTTTACCACGAGAAAGACTCCTCGCGGAAGTCGACGTTCCACTGGGACTCGCGATTGCGGACGGAGCGACGGAGCTCATCCGCCAATCCACCAGTACCGCAGGTGCTGACACAGGCAGCACCAATACCCTCTTGCATCTCCTGATCGACCAAGGCTTGGACGTTGGGGCGACCAGGGAACATCTGGACACTGGAAGAGGGCGAGTGGATCTCCTTGGTGCTGCGAGGGCGAGTGACGAAGAGCAGAATCTTCAGGATCTCGCGGCGGCGTGGCATGGACAAGATTTGTGTCATCCATGTACGGATCCATTCCAAGTGCTCGGGCGATTGGATGATCCAGACGAGTGTGAGTCGGCGGGTGGCA